AGAGAGAGAGAGAGAGAGAGAGAGAGAGAGAGAGAGAGAGAGAGAGAGAGAGAGAGAGCAGAAAGCGCAATGCACTGAGATACCAGCCAAATAAGAGGAATACAATGAAATCAGATGTCAATGTCGACACTTCTCCGTACACCACCGTAGTATCTGATGTCGCTGTGCTTGATTGGCGCACAGCACCCAGCCTAAAAAACTCAGCTACTGTTCTAGCCTACTCTACGTATATGCAACAGGAGTCACTTCAAGTTGAAGACCAATGTACGTGCTGACGTCGGCAATGCAAACTGCCAGCATACATCAGGCACTTGTCTCACCTCCCTCACCTCACCTCTTGTCTCCCCACAGTGTGCATCCCCGACACCCGAAGAACACCATCGCCCACCGGCATGCGCCCCAGCAGCCCGGCTATGGCTGCCATGCACCCGCTGTCACCACAGCGCCCCTCTCACCTCCCAGTGCCCGCATACGCCTCTGGCTGGCTAGCGCCCTACCGCCCTGGTAGCCTACCTGCAGGCAGCGCAGCAGCGTGGCCTCCCAGGCTCACGAGCAGGGACTGTGTAACCAACTTGGTAACTGTCTGGCGCCCAACAACGCAGAAATGACAAAAATGGGGCCCCATGCCTGGGCAGGCACCTTGCATGCTGGGGGCCCCCTTGGGCATCTGAAGGCTGCGGTCTAGCGGCTGCTGTGAGGCTCATTCCTCACACCCGCTTTGGTCGAGTTATGGATTCTGAAAATGAAATCGATATTTGCAGTGGTGGATGTGACCTTTTCCAATACCTGAACACACTCTCTCAAATTGCCTTGGCTTTTATCAGGCTAACTGCTGCTGTTTGGTCCTTGCTATGTACTTGAAATGGACTTTTGCAGATGCGAGCTGACGGATGTTATGCTGGAGATGGACCGCATCCTTCGTCCCAATGGAGTTGTAATTGTCCGTGATCTTGACTATGTAGTTGAGAGGGTAGCAAATGCCGCCAAGCTGATGCGATGGAATTGTCAGTCTTTCTCTGACGATCATCGATCAGTTGCTTCCGAGGAGGTCTTAGTTTGCAGGAAGGAATTCTGGACGATCTAGAAGTTGACCGGCAAGGGTCTCGTGCTGGATGCAGGTTGCCGAAGCGGCTGTCGACCCTGCTTAAAGCGTGGTGCTCAGCTTATCCAGGCGAGTGTAGAGCAAGGTAGGGGTTGTAGACAGACCCATCGTTGTTACCTACCGGTTTCTGTCTTCTTTGAGAAGTTTCAATTGGGAATGAGATGAAATTGCTAACGTTCGCGAATGTTTTGTTACTTCATCATGTAGGATTCTCTGTTTCCCTTGCCTTGCAGCAAATTAGGAGGGTTTCACTTTGGAAGGCGCTGGTACTTGAGCGTCAAAGCAGTCTATGCTACGTGGTGTATTCTGTCTCAGGATGACGCCAGGGTCATCGTCATAAATGATGCGAAACACAACAGAGTTACGGGTAATTTGCAGGGAGCCCCACTTCCCCTGGGCGGAAATAGCGCTTAGGTGGCAGATGCGACAAGGCATTTGACTGGCGGAAGGAGATAAAGCTCGTGGGAGTTCGTGGTGCATGCAAGATCATCAGCAAGAGAAGAAGAAAGTGACGCTGACACGCACACGCGAGAGAGACCCTACGCACGTTTCAGCCGGTCCCCAGCTTGGGATCGTCAGGGGTGAGAAGAACATGGCTAGGATGGGCAAATCATGAAGAATCTGGTGAAAAGAGATTCGGAGCACGTGGCGATTGCGGGCATGGCGTGGAAGTGTCCGAATTCCACGGCTTCTGCAGGAGTGGTGGTTGTGACTGTCATCTTCCCGATTGCATGTGTATAAGGAATGGAACGGTGGGTCTTGTCAGGTGGTGACGCTCATCTCTTCACGGTACAGTTGTGTGCACTCGTGTGCAGTAGAAGATTTGTTGTAACAGAGGAGCAGGTGGAGCCCGGTCGTGGTTATGGGGAATGTTGTCGATTCGACAGACATGTGGAAATGTGGTCCAGGCAAAATCCACATGCGTATTTGTGCACGTGGCGGAATATGCGTGCAGCGATGGGGATTTTCTTTTAGTGGTGGAAATTGATCCATTTTCGAAGTTCACTTGGGAGGGTGTTGATATTGCGTGTTGTAACCCATTTAACAAGTTGGCCAATTCTGATTCTTCAATTTTTGGTAATAACCAGAGCCTTTATGGGAGAGAGTGCCCAAGTTTTTGAAGGCTGTGTTTTGGTTCTTTTGGGTTTCCTACCCTTGCCTCATTTGTGGGCTTTTTGACCGGGATATGGCTTTGCATTCTGTTCTTTTTTCCAGTGCTGCAAACCCGGTAGGACAGGGGGCCCCTCCCCCAACCGGAACCGGACCGGTCCTACCGGCCGGTCGATCGGGCCTGTTCCCCCCCTGTTGGCCGTAGCACATCAAATTTTATTATTATTATTATTATTATTATTATTTTTAAAAGCCCAGGGTGTTGTAGAGGCCAAGGAATAGACCCACGGTGATCGCTGGCAGCGGCAGCCGGTTGTTGTCCTGACAGTATAAGCCACCTTCCCTACCCTTCCCTATGTTAAGCTCCCAGTGCACCCCCTACACCTAATATCCTACCTCAGTGTGACCAGCACTCAGGACCATCGCTCTACCAGCATCGAGGGCAACTTGGACCAGACAGCAGTGACAAGCACCCCCTAACACTATCATCCCCACCCCCCTTTTCAAAGTTTTTGGGTGGGAAGTCCCGTCCCTACCCTGCCACAGACACCCCAGCCCCCTTTTGCAAAGTTTTTGGGCGGACGGTCGACGTTTGCAGAAAGCCAGGTACGTTGTTGTCAATGTCTGCTGAAGCCCGTGCTTGCTGAGACCTCACCACTAACACCATCACCATGAACTCCCCAACCGCCGACCGTCAACCCCTGAAATACCCCCCCCCTCCGACCCCCTAACCCCCCAAACGAAACTTCTCTGTTCGAAGTTTTCTTTGCGGTCGGCGAGCGCTGTCCAAACCTGCTTTCAATTTTATTTATTTATTTATTTTCGCCCCACTTTTGGGCCCAGCCGGAATTCCGGTTGGACCACCGGGGGTCCAACCGGCCGGTTGCCGGCACAGCCATGCTCTTTTGCCTTTTTTTTTGCATCTCAGGAAGTGGGTGTGTTTTTCTTGTGCCGATCTTTGTTCAATGGTCGAAACTGAGGTTCGTTTATTGTTTCAGAGTTCTCAACGTTAAAACAAAAGGAAAAGAGTTTTTAACGTTCTCAAGCAGCGGAGGTTGCGCCTAACAATGTTGGTGTACATGTCCTTGGGAAAAGTTGTTGTTGGACGTAAATAAAGGTTGTGGAAATTCCAGTCGCGGGTGTTGTTGTGATGTGCCTCTTGATCATTTACATGTCTGTTAGCCATGGTCGTGGAAATTCCAGTCGCGGATGTCAACTAGGATTTGGCCATGAGCCGGAAGAGACCCTGTATGTTATGAGGCGTTGTGTAAGCTGGGAGACTGATGATCTGCTGAATTGCCAGGGTACACCACGGAAGATGGGTCTGCTCGATCAGCCTGACAATCCAATTTGTCTGCAGTGCACTCATCTGATGATCCGGGTCTATGACGCCCAAACTTCCATCCGTCGTTGGAAGGACCATGTGCCTCCAGGTCACTTTGTCTGCGGACCACAGGTAGGCCACCGCTTTGTGTCGGAGGGGACACCGTTCCGTGTCGCCCAGGTTACACGCTGTGCCAGCGTACCATATCATGGGGAAGTCGGATGAGTTAAGGATAAAAGCCCGCCCAAACACAGAGGTGTAGATTCCAGACCATTTCTCCATTTTGACCAGCATCTTGGGGAAGATTTCGGACAACTGGGTCCCAGAGGGTCCCGTGTCCGTCATATGTATACCCAAGTAACAGAATGGCTCATCTCCTCTCTGCCACTGCAGCCAGGGTGGCTATGAGGCCGGGCTATCCACCAGCTCACTGTTTTGGACCAATTGAAACACATTTCTCCCGCCGACTGGAATGCCTGCGTTGTCCTGGTGAGCGCTTGGAAGGAGGAATCTAAGGCTCTAATGAGGACCGTGAGGTTGTCTGCAAAGAGTAGCGTTGTGGAGAGCAGACGCTCAGCAGCACTGCTGGTACCGTCCTCCACAAGGCGATCGATGGAGGGATCCTTTCTGAGAAAGGAAGCTATTGCTTCCATTGTGAACAAGAAGTGGGGGGCAGCGAGCGGATCCTCCTGCTGAACCGATCTAGTCTTGTAAGCCTTTGACAAAAATCCATTAAGCTGCACTCTACCGTGCGCATCGCTGTAGAGCACTCTTACTCAATGCTGGAAACCAGGTCCAACGCCCATCTTTTGCATGCATTGTTGCTGGAAGTTCCAGTTGACCTGATCGTAGGCCTTTTCAAAGTCGAAGGAGAGGATGGCTGCGTTCATTCTCTTGTTCGTGATGTGCCTCGCTGACTCTGATATTGTCATGACATTGTTGAGGATGAATCTCCCGGGTATGAATCCTATTTGGTCTATATGAAAGCAGTGACTCGTTACATCCTTCAGTCTGTTGGCCAGCAGCTTCGCCAGCACCTTATAGGAGCGTGATGGGCCTGTAGTTTTTTATGTCCGTAGGGTCACCCTTTTTATAAACCAGCATGACAATGCCGGTGCTGATGCTCTCCCCCAGACCTTCTCTCAGCTCGCTCCGTTGCAGGTACATCAGAGACTCCTGCTCAAAGAGCGGCCAAAAGTTCTGCCAATATTCCTTTTGACAATCCGTCACCACCAGGGGTTTTGTTAGGTTTAAGCGCCACAAGCTCCGCTCTGACCTCCTCTGCCGTGATCGGTCTGTCAAGCAATTGTGTTTGCCCCGTCTACAAGGTCTTATCTAGGTTTCGCAGGAATTTCCGCCTCGCCCCATTGACAACATCCGGCGGGTGATCAGTTTCCCTGGAGGTGTATAGCTGCCTGAAGAAGTCTGCTGCCTGTTCCAACATGCGTTTGGGGTTGGAGGTCGTGCCCCCGGGGCCCTGCAGCTTCTCTATGATGGTTCCGCTGGCCCTAGCCTTGGTCTTTTAAATGCCTGCTCATGCGCTCGCCTTGACTCAGTTCCCATGCTCTCGCTCTCAACCGGAGCCCATTCATCTGCCATTTTTGCCACACCGCCAGCTCTTGCCTTGCCTCATCTAAGGCCTGCTCATATATGGCATTGTCGGGGCAGTCAAGTAGTTTCCTCTCAGCTATTCTTGCCTCTGTCTGCATATTATGCAGCCTCTCCATTCTCTTGGCAGCCAAGATCCAAGAAGCCTCTGAAGCGCTTTGGGACAGTCTGTTCACCAGGTCCAGAAAGGTCCCTGCAGCACGGTCTTGCTCGAAACATGCTTCCACGACTGCATCCCTAATGATAATGGTCCAGTCCCATGAAGGCCAGGAGGGCTCCCACTTCCGTCGAGTGGACCGCAGGCGTCAGGGAGTTGAAAATTAGAAAGCAATCTATTCTTGAGGCCAAAAGATGCTAGAGTCCTATTGCGCTTGGCATAGGTGAAAACTCTATCCTCCGGTCGCAGCGTTAAAAAGGGGTGTATCAGATCCTTTCTACCATGAAGTCATGTATTGGTAATGTCTTGACGTCCGCCGACCCGGTGGCATCAAGGACCCCAGTTCTTAGCCTGTCCCACTGCGGGTCCACGACCACGTTCCAGTCTCCCGCAAAGATCACGTGAGCTTGCATACCGCACGGAGAAATCTGTTCCAAAAAAGGCTCGATTCTGCGCTGCTGGTCTGGGACCGTAAAGAGAAAACACCTGAAAATCTTCATCAGCGATTTCAAAATCTAGCACAGCCCACCGCCCCTCTCTTCTATCCGCGGTTATCCTCTCTTGAGCCATTCTATGTGCCGCCCGCGATCTGGGGCGCAGCAAGATCGCCGTGCCCTCGGAACCCGGGCTCGGGGCTGGGCCCAGGTGGCCTCTCTTACCCACCGCAGTCCGCTGAATCTCTCTTTGAACTGCTGTGTGCTCAGGGGAGTCCATGAGGTGGGTCTCCTGGATGCAAAGGATGTCGGGCTTGGGCCGGGGGCCCAGGTGGCCTCTCTTACCAACCGTAGTCTTCACTCAATCTCTCTTCGAATTGCTGTGTGCTCAAGGGAGTCCATGAGGTGGGTCTCCTGGATGCGAAGGATGTCTGGCGGGGCGGGGCCGAACCAATCCACATCATGCACAAGGTGTCCCACTTGTCTTGGTTGTCCAGCACCATACCCAGCCCGTGCACATTCCAAGATACTATACGCAGATCCATTGGCACTGATGCTCTGGTCCCTTTGCTCTCTCCATTGCTACCCAGCTCTCGGCTTCCCAACAGACTGCCTCGCTTCAGCTGTCTAGGTTTTGATCAGTTCCGCACCACCCTTCTCCTGCAGGGCCTGCAGTCTTCTTTCCAAGTTGGTCTTGTCGACCAAGAATAACCTGTGGGCTGTGATCAGTGCCTCCGCCTTCCCAGCCCTTTCGGGGGGCATGTCATCGCTTAGCAGGCCAGAAGGGACTCTGCTTCTATCACCTCCCATGACATCCATGCTAGCTGATCGGTCAGTTCTGCCCCCTCTGCCACCTGTACCATCATGGGCCTGTAGTCAGAGAGGAAGCTGCTGCCTTCTTGGTCTGTCCATCTTTCCATCCCCAGTGCTCTCAAGCCTACTCAGTTATTCTGAGTTTTTCCCTATTGAGCCAAGGGGCGGCGCAGCGCAACCAGGAGCGCTGCACCGCCCGTACCAGCATTCGGCCCGTGGGAGTGGCTGGAAAGGAGCAAGCCCTGGCTTCAGGACGCGACAAGGCTGGCATGAGGAGTGTTCGACATCGCTCGAGTGAGGAGCAGCGGTGCGGCAGAGTGAGTACAAGGAAGATCGGCAGCGATTGTTGAGGGAGCAACAAGAAGGGGCTATGGTGGGGAGCTGGTATGGGGATGAAGGGGAGTTGTCGCGGACAGGAGAGTGATGTGGCGTGAGAAGACGATTGTTATCGCTGGGCAAGTAGGAGGTAGAGGTGGAGGGTAAGGGTGGGGGAGGGGCTGTTGCCAAGAGGGACTGACGGCAGGAGGGAGCCGCTTGTTGTAGGGAGGAAGGAGGAGCGGCCAGTTTAGTAACATCTTGAGTAGAGGAGGA